CTGCTTTAATGAAACATCCCCCTCTTTACCTCTGAAACTGCTGCACCTTTCACCTGCCACTGTCAGAAAACTGCATTCTGGTTCTGGAGTTTATTGTGGTATGTGACTGCATCTTACTTTCCCACTGGTTCATGCATACCATCTTTGGGAAAATGTCCTCTTCTGGAGACAGATGTGAAATAACTGATATGTTTTGTCCACTGTTGGCAGCTTTTAGATATGAATTGCTGTACTCTTGTAAAAAATAAGAAGATGCATTCGCTTAATGCTTTTTCCCTTGATTCCAGCATGTTCTGCTCTTATATTTCTCACTTAGATTCATGCCTAAGCAGTAGGTTTGTCTTACACCATAACAAAAAGAATAAAATTGTCCATGTAGTAAGTAATTAATTGGATATGTTTTTTGTAATTTCAAAATTTTACACTTTAAAATGCTACTTGAGATGGCTCAAGCAGGGGTAAGACTTTCTGGGACTCATTTGGTGATCACGGTGTGATTCATTGGTAACATATTTTGCCTAATGTGTGTCTTCACTTGAGCACCAGGACGATGCTCACGAATTGCATTCTACATTCTCTGTTCCTGCAGAATTGGCTGGTGTGAGTGCATGATCTCTGTGGCTCTGGCTATGCCTCAGTCCCGAAGTGTGACTGCTCTTTTTGTGCAAACCTGCAGCTTAGCAAGGTTGGGAATGTTATGTATGTGACAAGATCTTTCACTATGACATGCTCACCAGCTCTTCTTTGAGTGCTCTGTAGCTAGATAGGATTTTTTTCCAAACTTGGTAACAAGAGTAGATCCAAAGAGATACTTACGTGCTTATCTCCTTACACTTATGTTAAAATCAGTGGGAAATTAAAAGCTTAGGATTTAAATACTTAGAATTTGGAACTATCCCAAGATCCTTGTCATCAAAAAGGCAGTGGCCTCGTTTTATGCAGATGTCCTAGCACTCAAAGGGTGCATAAATTACTGCATCACTTATCAATTTCTCTTTAATGTATTCCTTTCTTATATCTGGGACTCTGTTAATAGAGAAAAAGGATTAAAAAGCATAAAAATAACTTGTATGTAAGTTTCTTTGAGTTGAAATTTTATCAGTCAGCCTGTCAGCACTAACATATGGGAAACATAGTTTTGCTACCGTGCATTGCAGGGGCTAAAAGTGCTGTTCAGACCATGTGCTCAACTCCTACAGAAGAGGGACTTTATATCACTTGTGCAGCCCACTCACAAATTTAAGGGGTGACATCTATGGATTCTGAAGATACGGTAACCAAAATATTGATCTTGTTAGAGAAAATGTAAAGTGGGGAGGGCAAAAAGAGATAAAGGAAATCTTCTAGGTCAGTGAGGAATTCAGTAAAACTTCAGTTATTCCATTTCTTAAAAGCCTATTGTATTGTTCCTGCTATATTGAAACAGTAATTGTAGATAACAGGGAATTTTTACGTAGCTTTTCCATATCTTGGGCTAACTTGCAGTAACATATAACATCTCCTTGTATCAATTACTGTAAAGTACTAAAGATCCCTACTGTTTTTGTTTTGTTTTGCTTCCTAAAGCCCCCTGCTGCTGTTGATTACACCTAGATCTGCTACTGATTGGAACTGTTAAAAGGCAAAAATAGTGTTGGATGGTTTCTGAATCATTTAATTGTAGAACTAATAAGATGTTTTCACTGGGACCTAATAGAACTGATAATATTAATTACAGATAATTACACAAACAAAGTATATTCTGTAGTATGTTGATAGCTTCGTAGTACATACTGAACTTAGTGCATGTGACCCTTGAAAAACTGCTTTCTTAATACAGCAATAATACCAGTTAATGTCCAAAATGGGCATAGAGTTACATTGGCTTATCTGTGTAAGAACCATTTCAATTCTGTTTCCTCCTCCACTGTCCACTCAAACTCTCAGCTCTGACAAGGTTGAAATGTGATCTATTAATGCATACAAGGAAGTCCAAAATGAAAAAATGAAAATACATCATTAGTTATGAATGCTAAGATTTGTGTTGACTTTTCTATAATGTTTCATGATTTTTAAATCCTAGCTAGAGAATTTTCAAGGGGTGGGGGGGAAAAAAAAAGGATGAGAAATTCCTACTACTTAGGTAAAGAAAAAAGAAAGGAAGGGAGTCTGAAGTGACCTTAATGCCTCATAAATCTTCAGCAGGATTTGGAGCATCCAGGAAATGGAGCTGCAGAGCAACTCTAGCATGGCCATGTGCATCTTGGAGGGCATTATGCGCAGTTGAAGGAGTCTATCAGTTATGACTCATGATTAACTCACTATTTCATTCTACTGTTTTGCCAAATTTGCTCTCCTTCTCACATACATACAATTCTCTCACGCGGTGTTAAGAAAGTGGCAGCAGGGCCTTGTGAGGGACCAGCTGAATCTTCAGTTTCCAAATTGTTCTGCTGTAGTCAATCCAATCAGCTTGCCTTTTGTCTGCAATCGCGTCATATTTTTTTTTTCTCAGTTATCTACATTTTAAAATATAACTTGCATTTTACCCTTTTGATGGGTGAAATGCTGGGAGGTTTGAAAAGCCATACTACAGAAAGCAAGTATGTGTAACAACGTGTGTTCTTTAAATTTATGCATACAAAATACGTGTCATGGATTCAGAACTGAGGCTGGAGGAAGCAGAGCAAATCTCAGTATTGAATGATGAAGATTGTCGACTTTAGTAGCATTCAAATTTCATGGAATGTAAAGAGTTAAACATTAGTTGTTGTTGAATTCATACTCCCTACAAATTTTGGCTTAAATAATCAAGGCAACAAGATGCTACCTTCCAGAATAAAGGAATCAGTCATCCACTTTGCAATTCAGTAGACTCTTACTTTCCTTGACCAATTATCCATATTGATTATTTGATTAAAAAAGAGTAGAACGAAATTATACTGCTATATCTAGAAGAGAAAAAAAAAAAAAAAAATCTGCTTATCTCAAAAGCAGATAGCTTTCCTTCTGTTTTTCTCTTTTTTCTACAAAGACAAATGTGTTAGTATAATGCTCATTGAATGTACTAACAGCTATCAGGATCTGTTTCTTTTCTTTGGTCTGGTCTGTATTTTTGCAGAGATTATTTCATGCTAGATAAACAGCGGTTGAGAGTTTTGAAACATATATTATAGTTAACTGAGAAAACTAGATCAATTTTTAAAATGGGAAGAAAGAACTGAGAAATTGATTTCTGTAGTTTCCATTGACAGGTAACATTTTGTCTGTTTACAGTCGGAAAAATGTTTTTCCTAAGTACTGTTAAGCAAAATAGTATCTGCTGGTCCCTGAAAAGCCAGTGGTTTCTCTCACAGATTCCTGTAAGATTCTGCAGCTGAAATCTAGTTTTAGAGTTTGAATGTAATCATGTCTGCACACATACTGTATTGATAATGTGCAATGCATTATTAGTAAAATTACTTTGAACTAAGCTGATGAAAAGGAACGACTGCAGTTCCTTCATTTTTTTTCTCTTCATGCCCTACAAAGGAAAAACAAAAACACAAAAAAAAAAAAAAAAAAAAAACACCCACAAAACCAAAACATAACAAACCTTAATAATTGCATTCCTATTGTGCTTTGAAATGTTGGAGTTCTTCTGACTACTGGTGCTTGTAGTCTGTGAAAGTCCTGCAAGGAATATATAGTGCTGCACTACAATCAATTGGAAGCGCTAGCTGAAAGCTCTCAGTGCACATTGAGAAAGCCTGTGTAAGGAAACAACTGCAGTTTGTGCTGCTCCAAAGTACTGCAGTATTCTTTACCTTCATTCCTGGCAGCTATCACCTCCATTTTGTTGGCTTGTCATCAGCATCTCTATCAGAGGAAAACTCCAATGCATGTAGCAAGAAACGAAGCGTGTAGGGGAAAAACAGAAAGGCTCTTGACTGAAATAGTCCTTTAACTTATTAACAGACAAGTGTGCATGTCAGAAAAACACACTTGTTTGCTGTGAGTATATGCAATAGCTGATGGGTAAAGAAATGGAAACCTTAATTGCTGCTCGAGTTTAGGTCACTGTTCATTCATTCATTCGTTGCCGGAGCTATAAACTATTCATATGTTGCCACAGCACATTACTTACACACGACTGAGGGAGAAGGAAGTAAGAGCTAAGATGCTTCATAGACATCGACATCGGGGGGATTAACATGTCTGCTTCATTAATATATATGTGCATACTTTAATGTTGGAGTATTGAAACTGTTTCAAATGAGATTAAAAATCTCTTAAGGTCTTCTATCGTGCTTAGAAACATTTACATTTTTGCATCAGTCTTGCCAGTTTCCTCACCATTTTACTTTTCCTCTGCCAGTGGGGTAGAAGTGCAGGCACAGTGCTCATTGCTTTCCGGCTGCCTGGCTTTCTGTTGTTTTTCTTTAGCTAGATCTGCTCACTGTACTTGCTAGCCATCATTAAGCGTATATGAAACTCTGTAGAGTGGCAGGCGTGGATTCTGAGTGACATTTCTGGCAGCATTTTCCTTGTATATGGCACCAGGCCTGATTCTCTGAAATTTTAAGCTTGTATGATCCGTATTTGCTTCCGCTGAATCTGTAGGTACTCTGTCCTTTTTGAAAACATGCTGCTCTGTGCAAACCTTGGGCAGCTAAGAGATGAGAAAGTCCTGGAAATTTAAGCAATGGCCATATGACTTGGTTCTGGAGAGCAGCAAGAGTACAGCCAACGTGAAGGGATTGCCACTCCTACTGTGTTAATTATAGACCCAGTAATCACCCCTTGTGAAACTAGGCTTGGAGATCAGTAGTGAATTGTTCAGTAATGTTTATTGGAGCTCTTTAAAATATATTTGCAATGTATAAAACACTTTGATATATAGAAGCTCACATTCTAATAAGATTACATTAAGTATCCTAATAAGATCAAGGCTTGAAATTATGTTTTTCCGGATTTGAGTGATATAAATTAATTTTAGTTTAAACCAGTGTCAGTGTTCTTAGATGTACGTTGTAAATACTCTGCTTGCAGTTTATGTGGGTCTGCATTTAAATTAAAAGAAAAAAAAAAATCAATTCTCCTATTAATGTGAGAAGTATTTTCTCATCTTCTCGTTCCA